GCACATGTCGATTGACGGTTTGGCGCCCGCGTTCCTGTCCGCAACCAGTGCCTGCTGGGTAATACCATTGTACGTCATGGTAATAACCTTGCCGCAGACCTTGTCTTTCCCCCACTTGTCGAATTCGACCGAGGGCAGCGCAACCAAAGAATATTTGTTGTTGGGGTTGCTGTTCGGGTAGTTGGCCTTCAGCTCGCATGCTCCGCTCGTCCAAAAATTATTTCGGCACTGGTCTAAGTTTTCCAAGTATATTGTGCCACCCATGTCTTTACCAGACGGGGGGGCTGTGCTCGATTCTGGATCAGGCTTCTGGTCTGGCTTCGGTTTCTGGTCTGGCTTCGGCTTCAGGTCTGGATTCGGGTTTGGGTTTGGATTCTGGTTGGGGTTTGGATTCGAGTTCGGGCCTGGAATTGTGTCCGGAATTGTGTCTGGAATTGGGTTTGGGTCTGGGTTTGGTTCATATGTAGGCATTTTGCAGGCGGGTGATGCCATTGCGGCGACTGCAAAGGCCAGAGTCGCGATAAAAGATGATGGATGCATTTTGAGCAGTGTTTTCAACAAGTGTCGCAAGTAGGATTTCAATGTGTCAATGGACAGACGTCAACATCAGTGAGAGAGGCACGGCGTGCTTCGAGTTTTATGGCAAGTTCTCACCATCCTCTGGCAGCATCACCCCGGGAAAATCATTCCGTCTGAAACAATGGGACTGCCAGGGGCATTGGCCGAAATCTGATGATTTTACGGAGTACTTGCAAGCTACTCATACCTAATGTATGTATTACCTGCTGAATCTGGCATGGAGCGCAGAGTGACAGGCGGGACGCTAGCAAGGGCGGCATGAGCATTACTGAACAAGACAACCCTTCAATGTCAGGAACATGAAACATGCAATCAAAGTTTCTTGGCGCTCCGGCTGCGAGTCAAGCACGACGATGGAGATTGGCGTTTGATTCGTCGAGTGTTCCTTGTCAGCACCCCGCCAATTCCAACAGCGAGCTGATGCCTGGGTTGAAGAGTGAAGTAGGAGTCCAGAATAATATATTTGCATGAGTTGAATAGCATATTTCCAAATTATTCAGTAAATAGCACAACGAAAACCTGTTTCTAATAGTTTTATGTATATTTCTTTTTAAAGGAGTTACGTACGTCGCGAGGATCCACCTTATGCGGCGTCAATTGCCAGGGGTTAAGCATCTGGATTCTGCTACATAACAGCGGGATCTACTACTAGGGTGTTCCTGGAAGGTTTCAAGCCCTGGAAGTATACCCATAAAACACAAGAGAAATCCCATGGTTATGGGGATATTGGACAGATGATTCTTTCTCACTACACCTTACGCGCGTTGTACTGACAAGACGTTGACGTGTTACATGACCCTGGGAAGTGGATTATAATAGCAAGGACTGCTTGACAATGTGAAGTGGATATGGAAATGACCACTAATAATGGTTTGCGGAAGTCATACACGTTGGAATAGATCCTTAATTTCTCCAGGTATTGTTACCTGGGGTGCCGCCCAACTCGCGCCCTTGACATTTTGTACCGTGGACATGACTGCTATACAAGCCAGTTTAAACTCACAACCCCAACCTTGTCCTGTGGATTTTGACACGGCCCTGAAAGTTGGCGTTGCTGCTGTGCGAAACGCTTCCGTCCTTTTGGCCCAGCCAAGCTGAATAAAGCTTTAGATGTGGGCCAGAAATGCTTTAGAGAAGTTATAAGATGCCCGGTGCCTATCCAGTGAGGAAGTTCAGGGAACGGACCAGACATTTTGTTAGCTTCGGTCGATGTATGGAGTTCTCTCTCGGCAGTTTCAGCTCGACCGGCCACTGGCGCATTAATGGGCTTATTGAATGTCAGCAATGAGTTCCATGGCGCTTGACAGGATACGTAGCCAAATAAAACCAAAGATTATGTACTGTTTTAGATTTTACGCTTGCACGATACTTGTATCATGCGTGTAATTTCATTTGACTACAGAGCGAAACAACCAAAAATTAATATTGGGTCCCGTCATCATTGTTATCAAGCTGCGGAGGCCGGGTTACTCTGATTGAGCTGCGCCGATTTGGCGGCCAGAATTATACCTGCCCAGCTCTTGCAATTAGATGATGCAACTTGTGCTCAAATAGGGCTGTTCAACTTTGTGACGACGTTGTGCTGAGAGTGGGAGATGGGTAGAGACGGTGTAGGCCGCACTGCATACAGCGGAGAGACGAAACAGAGCGTAAGGGGCAACTGCCTCATGTGGACCTCAAAAAGCACATGGGGGTGAAAAGAAATACGTGTTTATAATTATTATTAAGGGGATTTTTGTTTCGCTTTTCAGTCAAGCAATCTTACAAGCATGATGCGAGTATCGTGGAAGCGTAACATCTGATAACACAGTATTGGGCTGTACCAAGCCAAAAACAGGAAGAGACCAGAAAAAGAGACTGTCTGAGTATCGTGACGCGTCAGACATATGATATTTGTTATTGCTTGGCAATTGGTGGTTACGACTATCTATTCGCTCATTGAAGACCCTACATTCACACTCCAACTATATAAGCTTCCTGACAAATTCTTAAATGATGTTTTTGTAATACCTGAAATTATAGGGAAGTCTGGAAATTAAGAGCCATTGTCGATTGTAGCGCCAGTCAAGTGCCATTTAAAAACTGAAGCTTGTTGCAGTCACTCACTATGTATACCACAAAGTGATTGAAGCCGCGGCATCACTCGGCATGAATATTCCACCCCGCTCAGCACAAGTACTTCCACCGTGTACGGAGTACTTGGCTCCGGAATCAAATCGCAACAAGTTCAATATTCTTCGAAATTCATGCAAGCTATGCAGAGAGCTCAAAAGCGTGGTGATATGAGACAGTCCCCGTAGGCGTTGGCTTTCGCCAAGTGAGAGCCATGAAGTATTCTGGCGGCACCCCTTGTAGTCGCAGAGAAGGTTCTGGCCTGAAACCAAAGCGCGTATAATATTTCGGGTTTCCCAAGACAACACATCCAGCGCTGTGGCGAGCCTGAAGGTTTGCGAGCGCCCGTTCCATTAGCAACGACCCAACACCACGTCCTTGATACTGCGGTAAGACGGCAATTGGTCCCAGCCCGCACCAATCCTCACTGCCATCCGAGATATTTACAGGTGAGACGGCGACATGGCCGACAACTGCATGCGTGGCCTCGTCTTCTGCGACTAGCGAGATGGATAGACAATTCGCCTCACGAAGGCCTCGGACAATGTGATGCTCATTGTGGTCTGAATGCTCGGCGTTTGTGAATGCGACTGAAATGACTAGATCGATTGCTTGCGTATCGCTTTCTCTTTCCGGTCGGATACAAATCTGGTTCGAGTCAGTCATTTTCCCAGGATTGCGAAGTTTTTATGCTGTCCAGATGATGTGACTTGTGCTAATAAGAACAACAATCACGAAAAACGGATGCCGATAAAGTACCATCAAGAGCGAGAACGTTGGGCAGCATATGGCTCTAGTAGTGAATTGCTGACAATGAGTCATCAATGATCGCGAGTCACATTCGGCGATGACCGCTGGTGTCCACCTGGAGAGCAATGCTACGGAGACGGCTCATCGTTCGCGGCTAACGGAGGCGCGGCTGCCGTTATATAGACGTGAGCAAGAATTCATTCAGCTGTAACGGGAGAAGAACAAGGCCTTTGCCGACAATGTCCATGCCGATTGTAGCGGGCTGAGCCTTGTGGTCAGTCGTCTAGCTAGCTGTGCCAGACATAACACATCTAATCCGTTTTATTCCAAACCCAGAGCCAATGATCCACAACCCATGCTAGGCTTAGTTATTAGGGTCACATGTCGGGCGTTGAAGACACTCCAAACTTCCGGGAAATGTCTAGGTGCCAATCTAGAAGTGACCTTGACATGTGGTGCGTACGTTGTTGGTTCCGAAGGGTCACACCACAAACTACCTGGAGCATAGCATCTCACATGACGTAGAATAATATTTTTTAATCGACCGACAAGCAATATGTAAAAGACAGAATGAGGCGTGCGGAGCACTCGTGCCGTACCGCGTGGATCAAGGGTCTGCTTCGTGGCGCTTTGCATACTGCTGTCGCGCGAAGTAAGCCGAGCGAGAAAAATGTCGTTTATCCTCCGCTGCGTCGAGACACTGGGATAAGATCGTGTATTGCTCCGAGGCCATCTAATAAATTTCGTGGCGAGTAGCCATATCCACGTCATGTACTCCGTATGCCTGCTAGTTTCCCAAAACATGGCCAATCAATGCAGCGTTTCGTATGTTACTATAATGTCTGGTGAAATGTCATTCCATTTCATTTGTCAATTGTAGCCCTTGCACAGAAAACTTGACACAGTTCTATGTGTTCCAACCGCCATCAGAAAACTGAACACCACACTCTTCAAAGTATGCATTCCGTTGCTCCATCTTGTTCTGAATCAAGGGATCCCGCGGCGTCACACTCACAAGGACCTCATCAATGAAGGCCTGTTGATTGCTGCCCAGTTCATCATGCAGGGTATGCCAATATATGTGATCCGTATCAAAACACGTTCGTGCAGCGCAGTTAATCCAGAAACGCCCAGTCTTGCACGAATTCCGCATCCGTTCAGAAAGACTTGGCTTCTGGCCCGGGTGTCTGCTCCCAGCTGACTTTTCTTCCGCCCGCCAAGTAGTTACCCCGTAGATCAAAGGGGTAAATCCTGGGCTGCAACAAACAAGCTCGCGCTCACGCTTCCACGTGGGTTAGTAATACAGGCAGGTACGTGGATTGGTCGGGAACGGCTAATTGGCCCCACCCTGAGCCAAGTTGTATGTCGACCTCGAATCAAGCGCGTAGTGGTTGGACAAGAGACCAAGCAACTAAACACCACGGCGTGTGCAACCCCAATCAATGCATCGCTGACTGCATCATCTAGTGCCAGCTCAGACCAACATCACCCCCCGACCTGTGACTGCGGCCTCCTGCCTTTCTCCCTTCATCCTCTCATCCCTCAATCATGGGCGGCTCATGGCGAGACCACGGAATCGAAAGCGACAGCAAATACCTGAGCTCTCGCAAAGTAATCCCCCCCCAAAGAAAGCCAAGCTTAAAAGAGAAGGCAACTTCTCGCCAGTATTCTGGGATAACCTCTCAAAAATCTGGCTTACGCCGTGTGCCCTAAGAGAGCTTAACCGTCGAAATAGCGCATATACTCTGCCGATATTACCTGAGGTGTATCCTACAGATCTCGCCGGATTCGCGAGACACGGCGGTCCAGATCTTTGTCACCTGCGAGGCGTAAGAGTCCACCGCAACACAGAGTTGGTAACTGCAAGTACCAATCGTAATCATCTAGTATTCTGAGCCGAAGAAAGACATACGCTCTTATCTCTCCTCTACGTCTCGAAGTCGACAGACAAACTCGACGGCGGCGACATCAGTCACCTCAAATACCCCAAACGAGAGCAATATACAATTCACCAACCTCATATCACTTACGGATGAATCTACAGTTAAAGCGGTGCCAGACTATTTTGATGGAGCCAAAGCCAGTGACCTTCATAGTGTGGTGAGGCGTGAGCTCAACGAGCTTGTCATTCCCACCAAACATGCAAATGTTCCAATAGTACCCAACTTTTTCTTGGAAGCCAAAGGCCCAAGTGGAAGTGTTTCCGTCGCCGAAAAGCAGGCATGCTACGATGGAGCACACGGGGCACGAGCCATGCACGCCTTGCAAAACTATAAGCTGGCTGAGCCGACCTACGACGGAAATGCCTACACGTACAGCTCAATCTACCACGATGGCACATTAAAACTGTATGCACATCACGTCACTGCACCTACCATGGCGGAAGAACGGCCTGAGTACCACATGACTCAGATCGATGGATGGCAAATGACGGGCAGTATTGACACCTTTCGGCGTGGAGCGACTGCATTTAGGAACGCTAGAGACTCAGCAAAACGACACCGAGATAGCTTCATTCAGGCTGCCAATGCCAGAACTGGAAGAGCGCTGGTAGTCATTCTGGAAGATCCTGTCGAGCAACACGAAGAGACCTCGGACCACCCCGAGATGCCCGAGATGCAAAGACCCGAGGATCGTTCGGCGCACACTGGCCGGAAGGATGCGGACCAGACGCTCCAGCAACAAATCGCCGAGGATAGACAGCATGCCTTGCAAGATGATACCGGGGCGGTGGCTTTGGCGCCCCAGTACTTATACACAGAGGGTGATTCACCAAATCGGAGTCAGGAATTAGGGGTCTTGGCCTGTGACGACCCGTCAACGAGCTTTACATCTAGCTTGACTACTTTTACCACAGACCCCGTACAACCCAAGCGTTCAAGAGATCCTGTCAGTCCACCGTCTGACTCCAAGAGAATCCACTCATCCAAGGACCGAACAAGGCCAAGCGCAGCGCCCCGAACTACGCGACCTCGTCGGGCTGCAGTATTGGCACAGACAAACGCGGGCAATTCTGGTTGAGGGAGCATAGTGGCAGAAGGAAGGTTTGCTTCAATGGCCCAAAGCGGGGCCAGATTCAAGCTGGGAGAAATGGACGACACAGACAGTAGACGGAATAAGTCGACAAAGTGCAGAGCTGGAACGACCATTCTGCACGACAGTTGCCAAAGGTGGCAAAGACAACCCGAGTCCGATCATGAGTGGGCGGCGTGACCTGGTTTCAGGGTATTTTAAACCACCTCGTGTCTATGTAACACTGCTATATTGGACCGTTTTCAGGCCGACCGGAAACCTTACAAATCGGGCCTGTGACAACGGGAGGTTAGACATGTGCCGGTGAGTATTGCCAAAATCATATGCTATTCCGTAAAGGTTTCGCATAATTTCGACCTCATATCTGATGCTACCTTGTGTCGCGATACAGACTCGAGGCTTCTCCTCCATGGTAAACAGCTAGATTACCCACACCATTAAATGATCTGCGCATCTTCAATGTGAGCGATGATCATGTCATCCTCCAGCCTTCGCGGCGTGACTGTAGGTAAGCGACTTGGTAACAACGCCAGCGGTGGTGAGACGACAATCATTCAGGCTACACATGGAGCTAAACGAATTGCCATCAGCACGTCGCTTTCAGATAAACAAATTTATCCGCAATCGTCATCCTCGGCCATGCAGACCTCTCTCGAAATTCGGCAATAAAATAGTTGACTAAATTGCATCCAAAACGTACTTGTGACATGCCGGCAGCGGTGTGCCGTCCATCCAGCGCACCCTAGTCCTAGTCAGTTGTCCGTCGTCTCGCAGTCGCCCTCACTATAATATACTTCAATGTTACGTCCTAGCTGATTGCCGGAAATCACGGCAAGCCCAACTCTCCCAACTCGGAAAACCCGCATCCCAATGTCCTGGATTGATACGCTGCTCGGCTATAACGGGCGATAAGATGGCTGGTGGCTCAGACGCGGGATACCTCAGGATGGTTTCACCCCAGCGCAGACCGCTTCACTATTGCCGAAGGCGGGAGGCCGCACAGGCCGGCTGCCTCTCTTATTCCCCCGGTTCCCCCGGGCCAATCTAGTTAAATAATTTCCGCTGCCAAGAAATGGCTGGGCCCCTGGGCAAAATGGCCGCGAATCGCCAGGAAGCCGCATCTCTACTTGTGGAGGAGCGCGAGCAAATTATTCTCCCCGCCAAATTCGTCGACTCTGGGGCCAATGACGACGCAGACGATGCCGTCGAATGGTCAGCGTCTTTTCAATGGCGGATAGTGGCCTTGCTGGCGCTTGCCGCCTTTACAGTGTACGTTCAATGTTGGTCCTATCTGCCGCCGCCCGCACGCCAACCTGCTCCATGTCGGTTGCTGGAAACTGACGACGGCCATGTAGCACCTTCAACTGCGTATCGATATTTCCCGTCGCCAACACCGTCATACGTGACCTGAACGGCGGCAATGCCACCAGGACGGATGCCGTTCTCCTAGTCACAATATGGGAGCTGGGTGAGGCGGCGGGACCGCTCGTCATCGCGCCTCTGTCCGAGATGTTTGGCCGGTATCCCGTATACGTTGCTTGCAACGCCGTGTTTTTCTCGGGCGTCGTCATGTCGGCGCTGGCGCAAAGCACAACCATGTTCATCGCCGCCCGCGCCGTGGCCGGCATGGCCGTCGCGTCGAATGTTTTGAACCCAGCGATCATCGGCGACATGTTCCCCTCGGAGCAGAGGGGGTCGGCCATGAGCATCGTCATGCTTGCGTCGCTCGTGGGCGGTAACCTGGGGCCGCTTTTGGGCGGAGTCGTCTCGCAGACGCTGGGTTGGCGTGCCGTTTTGCGGATAGGCGCCGTGCTGGCTGGCATTTGCGGGCTTCTCTTCTTGGTTTGCTTCAGGGAGACGTATACGAGGTCCTTGGACGAGAAGAAGCTGGGCGTGCCGGGGGTTGAGGCTGTGGACGATGCGGAAAGCGACGTGGGCTTTGAGACGAGCTCGTCGTGTCTGCTGGACGCGGTTTTGCGCCCTGCCCGCTTGCTGCTCGACTCTGGGGTCCTCGTGTGCCTTTCCCTGTTTGGCTCCGTGGTATTCGCCCTCTTTTACGTCGTTTCCGTGACTCTGCCAGGCGTTTTGGAGGGGGTATATGGGCTATCAGCAGCGGAGACGGGATTAGCCTTCTTGGCAAACGGTAATTATGACACTCTCTTGGCTTCGCCTTGCAAAATCTAGGCTGACTGTGATTCGTATCGAGGAATTGGCTCCTTTGTCGGCATCATGCTTTCCAAGATGTATCTGGATAAGACCTACGTCAAGCTACGCGAGGCCAACAATGGAATCGGCCTACCAGAGTACCGACTCCCGGTGACGATTATCGGCGCTGTTCTGCTGCCTCTTGCGGTGGCTCTGTATGGCTGGTGTGCCGCAAACCAATTACCGCTCATGCTCCTTCTCCTCTCTGTCGCGTTGATGCGGCTGTTTCCAATGTTGGCATTTGTGCCCTTGATGACATACATTGTGGATGCGTTTGGTCTCTACTCGGCGTCTGCGATGAGCGGCGTCATTGTTATTCGATGCTTGGCTTGCGTCTTGTTACCGCTGGCTACGGTCCATATGAGTCAGGCTCTCGGCCACGGCTGGGGATGTACTCTACTCGGTGCTGTCTGTATGGTGCTTGCGTTGATTCCCATGGCCATTCTCCGCTATGGCCAGCATTGGAGACAACGGTGCAGGTACACCAGCACCTTTCAAGCTTGAATGGCTGTGACTAGGGATTGTGGTTCATAGGCCTAAGAAGCATGTATATAAGGATAGAGGTATAAAGTAGAGATATAAAGACTACACAACATAATGCGTCTACCAGGCGCGTAGACAAAGGGCTGACTGCCCCTTAACAATGAAACACATGCGTCACGACGGGGATAGTCAAGCCGGAAAAATTGACAGCTATATTGCCGCTGCTCATGTCGACTATTGTCGGTTGATCCAACCCAACACATGACACGGTACATGTCATTTGTAGTCCTTGGTGGGCTACACATTAGCTAAATCAAGTCTATGTATATGCTTCTTTGAGGTAGTTGAACGCCAAACGCCACATCCATGACTGAGTCTTTCCCAGGCTCATGTCCAATTCGTAACCCATGCCAATCCCTTTGCTGTTGCCGCTGTTTTTCATGCTCTTCATGACATTTACAATTGCACCTCGTTCAGGATGCGCACCTCCTCACCTGGCTTAAACGCTGGCAGCCCGATGAACGGGCACGTGGAGCATCTGAACGCATCCCCCAGTGAGCAATTATTGCACGAGCCCGTCTTGCCCTTGACCGTAAAGTCCAACTCGTTCAGATCGTTTGTGTCAAGTTTGATAGCCTCAAGGCCGGCGTTGGCCTGCGATCGTCGCTCCTTCTCTTCGGCTTCGAACTTGGCGGCCAGACCGCAAGTGCAGTCCTTGCACGGACGGCGGCGCTTCTGGGGCTGGCACTCGGTCGCTACTAACGGTTAGCATCTCACACGAAGTACGACGGCTACGCATCGTGGGAACCTACGCGCTTGAGGTCGTCTCTTGAGATCTTCCTCGCCCAACAAGTCATCCTCGTCAATCAACTCGTCGTCGTCGTCGTCCAGCTTGCCAAAGTCAAACTTTGGCAGTGGCGCCGGGGTCTTTTTCTTGCCGAGCCGCAGGGGAATGACGACTTCCTCCTCCTCTTGCTTCTCGAACCCGCCGTCCGTGGCGACGAGGCCCGAGAGAATGGCCTCTTTGGACTCGGCCGCGCCGAGCTGGCCGCCCTGGAACTGCAGTCTGCCGCCGACCCTCATGGCGGGGACTAGCGAGGCGAACAGGTGGCGGTTCAGCAGGTGCGCAGACTCGGCGGCCCGCGAGCCGTCGGCGTCGGTGAGAACGAGCACCAGGTCGTACGTCGCGGGGGGCAGGGACACAAAGCCGGCGGACAGTCGGTCGAGCATTTGGAGATCGGTGTTGGCGCGGTCAAAGGCCGTGAAGACTTGTCGCAGCTTCTCCTCGTGAGCGGCCACCGACGGCGGGGCGAGCAGAAGATTGCGCTTCGCAGGGGTCGCCACCGCCGCCAGGACCGCCGAGGGGACGGGTGCGAAATCGTCCGTGGGGTCGATGAAGACTGGGTGAGGGGCCATGATGTCTGTCGAGGGCGTCTCGCTGTGGTGGCGATGGAGTTGCAGGGCGATGATGGACGGCAACTTCAAAAAGTGAAAAACGAGAGCGGCGGCAGAAATGTCTGTGCCGGGGTTGTAGGAGGTATCTTGTATCTTGTACTTCCGTGACTTTTTCTGCAGAGCCGACGTCGGCATGTCCGCGGGGAAGATGTGGTGCGGGATTAGTGGCTAATTAGTCAGGCAGCATTTGTAATCGCCCATTGGTCGGATCTTGCGTTGGCAGGGCGGCTGCAGCAAGGAGGACTGCAGGCGGCCACATAATTAAGTTATTGCATCGGGTGGCTCCTTCCCTCTCTCACCAACGAGTCTGGGCTCTTCCGTTTGTCATCATTTAATCACCACGGCTAATATCGCACAATAGCTCCCAGGGAGGCTTCGGAAGACGACAGACCAATGAGGCTTCAGTCCAAACATGCTGAACAGCGGCCACGTGCGACTCCAGCCACTTGGGAGTGATGATGGTCTTGCATCCGCATCCGGAACTGTCTACTGACCCTTCTAGCAGCATCGCCAAAGACGGCCGAGCATCAAGTCTGCACAAGTCCTTTCTGGCCTGTAACCCATATATTGTGGGCTCTTGACTTTATATTATTTTCGCACATGTCCTCGTCACGTGTATGGTCTTGGTCGTGCTTGGGGCTCCTGTGCGTCCAAAGTAGGCTGGTGGAACTCAACGGCATCCTTGAAATGTCTAGAGCAAATATTGTCGATAATGTCAATCATTCATTTGAGCCAAAAGGGCGGAGGCGTCGATTTGCGGACACTTTTGTCAACGAATATAACTAGCACTACGGAGTACCAAGTTGCTCAGCCTTATGGAGCCCTCTTTTTACGTAGAGTGCGCTCTTGGAAATCCTATAAATAGAACTGAACTGCCTACTCCTGAACTGACCTCGCAGAGAAAAAGGACATGCCTGCCACATTAAATGATTTAGACAACAATCACCGAGTCTATTGTCCCAAACGGAATATGGAACATTATAAGTGGCCAAGTGAAACACTTGGTTGTTAACGAGCATCTTTTGATGGGAATGCTTGCCTTGCAACTTCGCCGAGTTGGGCCTGGCTGGTTGAACCTCCACTAATGACGTACGGTGTCACGTGGTGACCCCCCGCGGCCTTGCTCGCCTAGCCCAGGCACAGCCGTTGCACCAGACTTGACATCTGGGCCTTTCAAAACTCACATGTGCAGCCTTCTAATTGGTTCAAAGCCCTACATGTATGTACATTCGCTGTCGCCGTCTGTACATTCAATGTTGCTGCTGCAACGTGCTCTCTCTGCGCGAATAGTCATCGTCTGCCATTCGAGTCCACAGCTCTAGCCGGAAGAATGCCAACACTCGGGGAAGCATGAGGCTGCATGACAGTCTCGCACTGTTCAAACAGAGATGGTACAGCTCCAGGCGTGCAATGGCATTGTTCGGTGCCGCGCAGTCTCGCGTAGATGACGAGCGCAACCAATTTGTCGCGGCCATACGATATTCGGCACTGGCCACCGCGCATCATCCAAATGCCTTGCCACGCGAATTACTCCGTCTGCCACGATCCAGCCGCTTTACGCCACGCGGAACTTTCAACATATGCTGCTTCGTGCAATGCCCTACCGGCGAACGATGAGTCGTTTGAATCCCCCCTACGACCGTGAAGCAAGCTCGAGAGCGAAATGCCACCATGTCGTCAGTTCCCTCCATCTGCCCATGTTTTAGTAGGCATACTGACTGGTGTTGGAGTCACAAGGGACACTGTATTGGTAGTCTCTATGTGTATATTCATTGGGAATGGTAGGCACATGTTTCGCACTGGTGAGAATAGCCCTCTAGGCCCGCAAGAGTAGCACGCGCAATTCACCGGCATTTTGGATCTCTTTCGGCGTTTGACCTGCGACCGGGCTAATTCTCTCTTAGATTACGCGGCCAAGGTGACGAACAAAGGCCAGTTTGAAGTACTTGTTTCAGATCTCAAGCAGTGACATGGAACTGCTTGAGCGTTAGTGAATACCGGGTAGGCATCCGTTCGACTAGCTAAATCGCTCATTTCAAGTCGGCTGCTTCTGTTTAATATTACAAGCCATCTTGCATAGCTACTACGCCTTGGATATTGGACACCATAAGCGCTCTTTCACTGTGCCAAGCGAATTTACTTTTAGGGCCGTGCTGAGTTTACCATTAGTGTTCAGATGATGAACAGCTCTGCTCACACACAAAGGGACCTCTGGACAATCACTGCAGCGCAGAGTTCACAATCGGAAACAAGGCCAGTGCCGGTCGCATTCACAAAAGGGGTGTACACCTCAAGCAAGCAGGAATGAGCAGGGTGAAAGGAAAAGTTCAGAAAAAAAGTCATGACGGGTACGTACATGCAATCCAACCTACCTAGATAGGGATCAAGGCAGTGACAGCGGTCGAACTCATTCTGTTTAGTAGACAATGACAGGTAGTTGAAACGGCGTACGTCGGAAGCTCAGAGCCCTTTATGACTAATTTGTCGCAAGAACAAACAACGACAATCGTCTGGACAAGCTATGAAGAAGCGCCTGCATGTCAGAAGATCGCTGAATGAAGTCAGTGCTCTCCAAGGCTTCTCGGCGCCCGCAACACCACCATGTTGATTCCATGTTCGGTGTCGTACATGGCCCCTGTAAACCAACACACGAGGAACACTTGGGCTGATCCTGGGTATGGACATGAAGACGACATGTTCAGTTTCTTGGTCAGCTGCCTGGCTGTGGTGTCTCTTCGGGTATATAAACTCTATGCTTTCCGCGGGTTTGTGCCATGACCACGCGACTTTGTCTTCTCACCACACTGCATCGCGAATCGCTAAGCAACTTTGTCTTCTCGACACACTGATCACCAATCACCACCAAGCGACTCTGTCTTCTCGTCGCACTGCATCGCGAATCAGCAAGCGATTCCTTCTTCTCGACAAACTATATCACGATCGACGCCCTGTGCTAGACACGCGCACTGCACCAAGATGTCCTATCCGAGGATCCGATACAGACGACAGGGTGTCTCAAGAGACGAAAGCCTCGTCTCACACGAACAAGACCTCCGCTTCAAGGTTTCGGACTCCGGTGAGGAATCGTATTTGGGCTTCGATGAGGAAACGAATTTGGACCACGTTGAAAGCCTCATCCCATCCGTACAAAATCTCGGCTTCAACATTCCGGAAGTCAATGAGGAATCGTATCTGGGCCCCGATGAGGCAACGTATCCGAACCACGATGAGGCAGCGTATTCGAACCACGATGAGGCAACGTATTCGAACCACAATGAGGCAACGTATTTGGGCTCCGATGAGAAAACACATTTGGACCCTGATGAGGAAACGAATTTGGACCACGATGAGGAAACGAACCCCAGTGACGGTGAGCAAGATGATCCCCGATGCTACGGCATATGCCCCGGGACATTGAACCCGGATGCAATCAGCAACGAGCATTATCGTCGCGGAAATGACAACTTCGACTACATCAAAGCGTACTGGCCACAGACGATTCCCCGTCATTACGCGTGGACTGGCAAATACCCGGAGGACGAGCGGTTCGCCCTCGCACATGTCGAAGACAAGATTGGCATCAATCTAAAGGACATATTTGATCATGGGAGCTGGGTTCCTTTCAACGGCATATCTCGAAAAGGCATTGCCCCCTACATTGCGACCATTACATACTCGACCCCCCCTGTCACGCTCTCCTATGCAATACTCCGCCGCAACGTCAGCAGACCGGTTTGTGTATTCGGATTCAAACTACATCTAGATGGACAAAATCAAAAATTTAACCCCATCCTTGTATCGCAATTTCATATGGTCAAGGCTGCTGAGGGGCCAGGTGGTTCTACAAAGACACTGGGTTTTCTGGGTTTTGAGAAGCCGCCCGAACGTGAGCGGTCGGCCGACTTCTGGGAATTCGAGTGGTGGGTCCCGAAATACATATGCTGCCGGGACGGCTTCAATCTTCATTTTCGGCCAGACGAAGTCAATGCAAGGTCTACTGAGTCGTCAAGACGGGCTGGTCATAGACAGGGGGCTCGACGATGACTTCTGGAATCGACTGGAGACCTTGTGGCACATTATTGCGGGGGATCGTGTTTTGGATATCGGATTGTTTATGTTTTTGTTTTCTGTTTCCTGCTTTGTGGAAATTATCTCTTCAGTTCATGACAAAGTCAATGGTTATGGGATCGCGTTCGCCTTCGTCGTCGCGCGGTCATTCGCACCACTCGTGCGTGGTCGCGGTTCGGCACGTTTTTCCGCCAGTATGTTGGACAGGACGGAGCGCAGGACGCGAACGATGTTGGTACATTGACAGTTGTTCCGTTTTTATTTGAAATTTTTTCCTTGATTAGAATGAAGTCACAGAAAAATTGCAGATTTCGTTGCGTGCCATTATTTGCCGGCTGATGGTTGTGTGCTCCGTCAAGATCTGTCCGGGATGGGATGTGACGCACGCCGTTGCCGTGTCCGCCTGAATGCTTGGTAGAATTGTTGTGTGAGTGTCAGAGGAGTTGACACGAGGTGAAAAAAGTTCTGGCTGCATGGAAGCCGGGGGATGGTCAGTAAGCCACCGCCCACGTGGCGCTTGTTGCACGGATGTCACGTTGGCATAAAGGCACGGGCCGGACCTTGAACATGACGATAGTTGGACAAGGGCTCGAGACCTAGTGGAGGCCTCGGGCCTATGCTCGCTTCCTCACTGTGATTTGATATAAAAAAGGGTTGTTAGCCCTCGAGGCCTGGAGGAGAACCAAGGACCTTTGATATTGAACCGAAGTATTAGCTGAAATTAAATATTGTTTTAAGCCCTTCTCACAGCGCTGGCCAGGCCGACGTGATTGTCGTAGATCGAACAGGGGTTCCGCATTGTTGCAGTACGTACCCAGCACCAGACTGGCCAGGATCTGTCTTTGGTGATATAAATATTCGAGTGTGATGATATGTATAGCGTTGCACAGTGCTAAATTCCTAGTTCATCAGATACGAATTATAAATTTCTTATCTTGACAAAACACTTACATTACCTCCAATGCCCATGGGGAATTACATCATCGGGTGGCATCTTACGTTCATCATCACAGCCCACCAGGTAGCGCGCAGGCATAGAAACATGTTGAAAGTCGAGGCATGATATATTTGCGAGTAAAGTCCATGTTGTTGAAATTGTACTTGTCCTGCTTGCTACCAGGAAGCAGGAACCGACCTCTTCCGCGTGCTCGCTCCAGAGTCATAATGAAATAACATACATATAACGCATGTACAAACTAGCGAGTATAATTGAAGATACAGATTGGGCCAAGACTATCTCATCTATTTTCCAGCTGGGACCACCTCAAAATCGTTGGATCCAAGGATTTCAGATATAATGCTAGGGTCGAGGTCAAAGTCATTGTTGTTCCCTCCCTGCTGGACGTTGTTGTTATTGGAGAACTGGCCATCAAAATCGGGTCCGTTATTCGGGGGTCCATTATTGGAGGGTCCGTTATCGAAAGGTCCGTTATTAAAAGGTCCGTTATTGAAAGGTCCGTTATTTGATGGTCCGTTAGTTGGGGGTTTGTTTGACGGTCCGTTATTGTTGTTGCCTCCCGACTGAAAGTTGTCGTCATTGTCGATCTGGTTATCAAAACCGGGAAAGTCATTCGACGGCCCGGTAGTTGGGGGTTTGTTATTCGGGGGTCTGCTTGATGGTCCGCCAGTTGGAGGTTTGTTATTTGGAGGTCTGTTTGATGGTCCGCCGGTGTTGCCCGGAACGCCGGTAGGAGGCCGGCCATTCCCACCGTTGGGAGACTCATTGTCGCCGTCATCTCCGTTGTTTGGCGGCCGGTTCCCATTACCTGTTCCGGCGCCGTTGCAATTCTTTGCAATGTCTCCGGCATAGAGCGCGTAGTTGTCAGCATTTTCTAGACTGCTGTCCGTGTCAAGTTGCTTGGACTTTTGCTTGCCATAGGCAATATCGCCAGTGGCCACTGTCGTATGGGACATCTCGTGTACAAACAATTCGTCCAAGTTGGTGAGAGTGTTTCCGCAGCCCTGGCCCTGGTTCTGACGGCGCTGACGACCACCCGCGGGCATGTCAAAGGCACTGCGGCAGAGCCGAATCGACCCCGGAGTGCCCGACGTGATGGTTGCCACGGCCGCCAGCTCCAAGTTGCCGCTCTGCGGAAGAAAGCATGGCTCATTCGGGGTGCACTCAACCTTGATGGGTTGGTTCCCATCATGGCCGCAGCCAGCAGCAATCTTGGCAAAGGATTGTGCCACCCGGTTGCGGGTGTTGGCATCGTTGGTCTTGAAGTATTGCTGAAAAGTAGGTGATCCGTCTTTGGCGTCCTGCTCGGCTCTCTTTGCTAGCTGGATGCATTGTGCAAGCGCCGAGTCGACCTGTTGCTGTTGATTGGCACAGCTCCTGTCTGTGTCTGCGCGCCTCTGTTCAGGCACTTCGTCCCCGTTGATTGTACATCCGGTGCCGTTGACAACATCAAGCGCTGCGAGATTCTCGTAAGTCTGGGCGAGGCTTGGCCTTTCTCGGGCTTCCAAAGGAGAACCACGGCCGCTGATGGACAAGGCCACGACCGTGGCCGGATTCAAAGCCGTAACAAGTCCAGTAAGTCTCATGTTGGCTCTAGTTGTTCTTTTCCAAGTATAAGGTGCAATTCATCTAGAAATGGACCACTATGATATGCCCAAGAGGCAACGACATGGAGGCAGACAAAAGTCGGGAGTCTTTATATGGCGACGACTCGTGGCACCTGGGTCTACACATGGTCAGCTTTCACATAGACAAGACAACACAGCCCAATCGGTACTGAAAAAGCCCAAAGTAGGTGTTTCATTCTCTACTCAGGCATATCATACCCCCAGCTGGCCCCGCTGGCGGAGAGATGGCTATGCTGCAAGGGTTCGGCGAGTTTTAGTAGTTCGTGCATTGACAGCATATTAACGAGGGCAAGGGAACGCCGCTGTCAACACATTGACACCTAGCAAGTGACGGCTGAAAAAAACGTCCCGAGCTCTTATTCAGCGTCTCAAGTTGATCATCTCCATGGTTGGTCCTAGTATTTAAAATAGCTACGAGCTTGGTATTCATGCCAGCCCAAGTGTGCTCACTACTAGAAGTCACTAGGGAGAAGCCTCGCTTGTTCCCCCAGTATGATAGAAATGGTGCTCAAGATGAGTTGAACATGGCATCATGCTTTATTCGATGGTACAAATGGCGGTATCTGACGCGGGACATTTGGAACTCTATGTCATAAGCACGTGAATGGTGTCAGAGTAAAACACATTTAAATGTAGTAAGCTCTTGGTTGGTATTGGTGAGCAGATTGTGTACTCAATAAAGGAACCAAGTTATCCCCTTGACCCCATCTTGATCAACTGAAAAGCGAAGGCCTGGTGTGCACAGCATGAATGTGACATGGATCAAGTTACATATGCGCCGACATGACATCGGACGCGTGATAGACAATATGAATCAGCGCATGAATGTATCGCGGGCGGCCTGTTCCAAAACTCTCCGCATCAAGTTGGGTGAGAACACCGCTCCTTCTGCAACTAGTCCATCGCCACGACTTCTTGTGAATGCATATATGGAGTCATTCTCTCTGTATCAGCTGGTCAAGGTAGTTCTTGTGCTGTAACAATTTCAAACTGCGCCCAGTGGAGCTTCTCCAGTCGTTCATGGTTACATCCCGGACAATAGACTTCAAATTTCCGGCGCCGAATCGGGCTATTTCCCCGACAGCCGCGTCGCAAGATTCGCAGCCTTTGATTGGTTCATGTCCATTTAACTCAAACATCCTTGACTCAGATCGAACCACTGCCCACCTACATCCTACATCGCGACTAGGTTGATCATGTCTCGTTTCGGAGACAAGCCAGATCCCAGCAGGCAGACTGCTGTTCAATCGAATCAAGTACTTGGGTCCGAGACGTTGTCGACTATACGGGCTTCGAGCACGGCGGCCGCGTTGTTGCGCATGGTCTGAGGAGCCAAGTCGTTTGGCTGTTACGCGTGAGTTGAGCATTATAGCCGCAACAGGTTACATCCTCCCGTTCTTGTTTCAGCCTTGGCGCTACTGTACGTCATCCTGTCTGGATCTGCATGCATAATCATGGCTATCGGGTGTTTCAACTTTCGGGCCTACGTTCTTTGAGGAACGAACCGCCGCGAATTGCTCAACACCCGCATCGTTAGACCAGCGTACAACGTGGACTTTGTTAAAATTCCCTCAAAATCCCCCACCTGACGCATTGCAGTAGCTTTGGCACTTGCAAATATAGCCAAGTACCCGATCCCGGATATCTCAAGAGGAGGTTGCGTAGGAATCTAAATAGAATAAAAGGCAGAAGAGGCGGACGAGAAGCAAATCGAAATACTATCAAACTCTAAATATAATTGCTACTGTCTAAATCACGAGTACATTTATTCGTCGCTATGCATGAGAGCTATTGCGTTGAAATCTTGTTTTCTAAGACGTGTATATTCAAGGGCCAGCTAATTAATTATCGGTTCATTTATTTACTACACGGTGGAACACGAACAATTCCCACACACCAAGGTGCAGGCCACGTGCCTCCAGGCAGCTGTATCCTTGGCTTCGAGGTACATGTAAGCGTATCGGGAAGTCAAATGTCCTCCCACAGTCTGATTAATTGGCGCGTATTACCGTTAGCAGCCACGGGTCGCATTTACAGGGAACTGGTCCTTTTATTAAAGTTGCAAGCGAGCTGCCTATAGCTCATATTTGGAATCTTACAATATTGATCTTTCCAAGACATCGTCTGGAAGCTGGCGTTTAGTGTCAAAGGCCTCCGGTCTTGTTAGGATCCTGGCTCGCTGAACTTGGAGGAGAGATAGAGACGGACGAAAACCCCGGAATTTCCTCCACTTTCGGTTAGTATAACAGAAAGAACTTAAAAAAAGGATCACCTCTCCGTTTCAGACTTCAAGCACCATGTTGCAAATCATGCATGGGTTGTACAGATGCAGACAGCGCTGGCTGCATAAGCTGCCCCGCTGTTTTGGTGTAAGAGAAACATTGAAGTGAATACATGTGTTGAGTCAATTATGCATTAAGCCACGGCGCAAAAATTGTACACGCCTACGTATTGTTACCATAGCAGCTGTAATCATCATATTTCACTCAACAGAATAATAGAGACAAACTATGGAGGCGTTTCGAGTCGGCTTACCGCGAGGGTGCAGCGAGGTACTAGTAAACACAAAGGGAGAAGGTAAAGAGGCTTAGAGGTTAATCAAGTTCCCCTTGTAGGCCTAACTCGTCTGCGTCATCCCAGTAGTTATTCTGTCATCAACATTCAGCCATGAAAGCCAGCAACACTAAATCACTGAGAGCGTGGAATTAAAGATTGTGACCAATGGGCTCCTCCTTAGTACAAAAAAACAAAGAGCCAAATTTGTTACTAATTACACACCCTGATCTTTTAGCTTCAAAATAATGTTACAATGTCGCTCCCTCTCTGCCGACTGCGCCCAGAGTCCATGACATATCGCAAGGCAATAATGTCAGCGCTCCAGTGGATATGTCACCTCTGATGTCTCAGCCACTACAATTCTGTCCTGACTCGTCCCTCGGCCACCTGAGTTTTATACTACGTAGCTGGGCTAAATTGGACACGCAGAAGCTGACATCAGCAACCTCTAGTGAGCTGAAAATGTCAAGTCTGCCAGCCCGGTCCACGTTTAGCGGGTACAGCTATGACTAGTGACACGAGATAGATGGTACGAAGGTTATGTAGCATCCTCCAACACCACTTTGTAGTTTGGAATGATCGAGCGACCGCCCGATGATGACCGTTTGCGGCAACACGATTATACGCTGCCGAGATCCGAAGCATGACCACATGCAAGCAGTGTTACCGATCCTCGTGGTATAAACGGGTGGTATTTTGGCGATCCTGCAGCATTTTTCGAGGTTGTAATACTCCCATGAACTCTGCACTATAGTAGGCAGGTAAGCATAATGCAGCGATACGCGCTGTACTACACACCATGCGTCGCTCTCCACCAACTGTTGGCGCGGAGGCAGAGTCAGGTGGCACTCTTGATAAATCTCATCAGCCCAATGTACGTTGGACTTGATACCCGGCGCGTCCGTCGCGACGAGATGGATGTGTCATTATCTCGCCCGGTGGCCATACGCTCGTGACGGCGACGTCGACGCGCGACTCTTCGACGTTGGAACGGTCAACGAGGCTCGGAGCTCTGCAAGGACAATGTCCCTGACACATTCATCTCTCCGAATAGGGGTGGGAAGAAGACATCTCCGCCAGCCTCACCGGAGGGCCCGGGGGCACATGACATTATCTGCGATCCTGGGAAAATACGAGTGCGTAGTTGATTGAGTCTTTCTGTCGATCATAGTTGGATTCTGAAAGGGTATTGGATTGTCGAGAGTCAGTCTGCAGAGATGAATGGTTGCTGTGCTCGGCTAGTCCGCTCTACACACGTTGCGCTGTAGTCAAGTATAAAAGCGCGGCAACCTGCCGGCCCCATTGCAAAATCGCATTGCAAATCAGCTCAAATAAATTGATTCAAAGTTTACTTGAAACCAGTCCTCAAATCAAGGGTAGTCAAAATGCGCCTCTTCATTTTCCCGGTCCTCGCAATGTTGTCGGCTGCCAATGCGGATCAGTGTCACAAGCCGCACCTAGCAGTTCTTGTGTGTGCTCCATCGCCTCTACGTATGTGCTCGTTCTTCGGAATTGCTCATTCTTTCTAGGCCGATCTTCATAAGGATGCGAATTGTACAAGCGAATCTCCGACTTTTCTATATAGCGGGAATTGTACCAGTATCCAAGGCTTTGGGTATGCGTCTCGTCAGACGTTTTTTCGTTGAATATATTGAAACTAACTGGCGATGAAATAGGTCCCTCTATTCCTACCCTGAGAAAGAGCTCCGATGCAGCCTGTATTCGTAAGTACCGGTAGCGACTCCTGAGGACCGCTGCATCTGTTACTAGTCTCTGATAAAATGAGCCGATAGGACTTCAAACTGCGATAACCATAACAAGTCTGGAGGAGAGTTCTATGATAAAGGATGCCATCAATTGCACGGAAACCTTTCTCCAAGCTACATGAGATGTTTTGTTCCAAGGTAATAAGTAAACTGGGGATTGCCAGCTTGGGGTTAGACGTTCTGACAAAGAGAGCTCTTGATCGTTGCATGGACTTCTCAGCTGGAACGTAAGGTCGGTCGGCCAAGGCGGGACTATTACTACTAGCACGTAACTTCGTTGCGCTTTACGTATAGAAAGAGATGATACTACTATGCCATGTCCCAAAGCTATTATAGTTCCTGTTGCCGCGTGGCACCAGCAGTTCCAAGTCTGCTCGGATGTTGATGAGGAGCGTCCCGCGGATATTGAAAGTGTGCTAGACATAATCTTTGGTTACGTTGCTTATACTGCTACAAGACGTAGATTCTAGAGCTAGTCACAAAGACCTGCTACTCGGCCACCCGGTTGTCTTATAATTTCGCCAACTTCAGCTACCATCGATGAACTTTGTAGAGAGATGGTCTCACTGAACCGGTTTCTTATTAACTACATTCTGATATGGTTGTCTCTAGTTTATTAGTTTATACTCTCGCCCTTGACTGAAAACACCCTTAATGCTAACACAAGTTTGATGTCGACGAGGTTTGCTTCACCTTGTCAGAAGGACTGGCAACCGAAACAAACTAAATTATGACAGGAGGAGTGCAGGCGTTTCTCTATAGATTTCAACTCCAAATTGAGCGCAAATTTCATGAGTAGATACGTGTGTAATTTACGGTACGAAGCTGACAATGCTGATAGCATCGAGAAACCTTGATCTAGTTGACCAATTCACACACCTTTTGACAATGACAGTAAAGTAACCCCAGAGAAAGGGATTCGTGGCAATAAATTGGAAAATATGCTACCATGTAAAGCAGATAATGTGGAACGATGAAGTGTGGGCGCTTAGAGTGTCGCCTTGACCGTCCGCAGTCGGCGTGTTAGGAGCTGGTCGTCTTTTCCCAGCTGCATCATCAAGCATTAGCTAGTCAGACAACGCATAACTGGAACAGGGCCAGACGTACATATCGAGAAAAATTTTCCACAAAATGGAAAACAAGACGCCCTGTAGACCGTTGCATAGTATTCGGGTTGCGAGGCCTCGTCCGAGAAGTCCGAGGACTCCATCCTCTTGAATCACCAGCTTAACCGCCTCGGCTGTATACCATGATTAGACAAGACACATTTGGAAGAGCAGGCACAAGTCGTACTATATGAGACTTGGGTGTCGTTGACTTGACGGTATGTCTTGACGACTCTCAAGGAATTTGACACGGAGTCGGAAATAAGGGATGCGACAAATCCGATGAAAGCTAGACGCAGCAACCACAGGAATAATTCCGACTTTGGCGGCTCCTGGATGGATTCGTTCAAGAGATTATACTACAGCACGTGAGTAATTGGAGGCTAACGTCTTTGACTCAAAAGTTCAGCTTACCGTAGCAAACCACGGATAATGCCCGACAAAGGTTGCTCCCGCCGTAGCAAATGCTCCCCACCACAGTGTCGCAATTCCGTATTTCTGGAATCGCTGGCGCAGCAAGTCGATTCCACTGGATCCTTGTGCTTGGAGAGTTGTCTTTAGAGTATCAATGGGAGTGAGGACCATCCGGAAACCCGCAGCACTTGGTACATGTCTTAGCGTCAAGGACTACATCTGTTGAAAATCATATCCCTACCAAAGAGAAGCAAAGACTGTTTTTGCAGGCGAGGGCAATTGTCTCAAGTATGAATTGGACTGTAGCAAGGCAAGGATGCCGGCATTTGCAGCGGTATCTCCAAACCTTGCAAGGGGACCTGAGATGATTGCCAGTTAGTTCCCAGATGCTTATTTGGCAGTTTGAGCAGTTCAAAATATGCTTGCGCCACATACCTTGAACAAGTGCAGCCGTGAGACCCTGATAGTAGCGACCGAGTCCTCCTGCGTGATATAGGGTCTGGGTCGCAGTCGTAAACGAGGTCCCAAAGCGGTACTGGTAATTCATTATCGTGCGAAGCGGCTGGTTTCTGTCAGTATCTTCTTATTCGACGACATGTATGAGGACAAGATGTACCATTAGCAGCAGAACTTGTAAAACCATGGCTGCGGCGCCGCTGAGCCCTCCGCCGAGCGCTTTCTTCAGTGCATGCTTCAAATCAAACTATGATGCAAGCAGAAGCGTCAGCTGAGGATAGATGGGCGTATTACAAGTCGCGAATAGACCAACATCAACGTCGCTGCCCGCATCAATCCAGCCCTTGATAAAAACAATGGCGACGACAACTGCGAGTACGGCCCAAAATAGTCTCCAGTAACTCCAACTACCCCTCCCGGGCTCGGACTCGGGATCATCGACCCTCGGACTTGACGGCTCGCCGTTTAGCAGTGGTGTCTCCTCTTGAGGATTGCTTTGGCTCTCTACATCACCCTCGCGCGCCATGGTTTCGATCGTCTCCCGAACCTGGGCATCAACAAGCTGGGGCAATGGATGAAGTTGGTGAAACCGGAGCAGCAGTCTGCAGCGATATTCCGAGACCCGCAATCGCTCCGTCTCGGATGACAAATGCAATAGCCCATGATCCGGGGTTGTGATTAGGACGCGGCGACGAGCAGGCAGGGCCATTCGGATTGGTCAAAGAGAGTCTGATGCAATACCGACCAATATGGCGCATTCCCACGCGCGATAACCACAGAATGACCGCATCGGCATAAAGACCATGTGCAACTGTTGCAAGACTAAGTACTGATATGTGAGCTCGATCCCCCTTCCCCGCAGCTGTTTCTCATAGCCGTGGGCGTGTATTTCCATGTCGTGCATTTCTTTGAGACGTTGTAAGCGCGCTTGGAATCTCTCGTATTTGCCTGCATACTTATACTATGAATGGTCTTAAGTCGGACATCAAATCGGTTGCAATTATTGGCGCCGGACCCGCTGGTACTTTTTCCTGCCTCTGAATTTGACATTACGCAACGGTGCTGGGCTAATCGTCAAGTTGATAGGTGCAATTGCAGCATCTGCGCTGAAAGCTGAGAACTACTTTGATCGAATCCGAGTCTTTGAACGCCGAGAATCAGCTGGTGGAACCTGGTTTGTAACCAAGTCCTCGGAGATGTATAGGGGCTTTTTATTTTAACCTTTGGCCAGGATACACGATGAAGATCCAGGTTCTAATCATCCCGTGTATCCGGGAAAGCTACCGACCGAAACCGACCAACCTTTAGATATCCCCCATGACTTGCCTCAAATTACCCCCCACATCCGGCGTGAGCGGTGGACTGCGACGCCTATTTACAACATGTTGACGTGAGACTCCTCTGAGTCCTGTGATAAATCCTGACACTGAATATACAACTAGAACAAATGTCCCTGACATAGCCATGTGCTTCTCCGATTCGAGATTTGCATACGGCCCCTTTGTGCCACACTACGTCGCCCGGCAATATGTCGAGAATTACTTTGCCATCCACCAGACAGATTCCTTCCTAGAGCTAAACACGACCGTGGAGGATCTTTCGAGCGTGTCTTTGCCAGCGCCCAGCGGCGCCAGAGGTTGGAAGCTGACGCTCCGGAAACACGACGCCACCCGAAACCTTGACGTGTGGCGCGAAGAGTTCTACGACGCCGTGGTATTAGCTAATGGGCACTACTCGGTTCCCTATGTACGCATTCAATTAGCACCCAAAAATATGGAAGCACGCGGAAAGCTAACCCAGCGACAGGTACCGCAAGTCCCCGGCCTCGAGGCATACATGGCCAAGTTTCCCGGGCGAGTCTCCCACTCCAAGTTCTACCGCTCGCCCCTACTCTACGAACACAAACGAGTCATTGTCGTTGGCAACTCCGCCTCCGGCCACGACGTCGCCGCCGACTTGGTCTCTGCTGCCCAACACCCCGTCCATGTATCCCGACGCTCCAAGTCCAAGTGGGATGGCGACGAACCACCGCCCGGAATATCGTGGAAACCTACCATTAGAGAATTCCAACCAGACGGCAGAGTCGTATTCGCCGACGACACATACCTGGATAATGTCGACGCGGTGATCTACTGCACCGGCTACAAGGCTTCGTTTCCGTTCTGGAATGAAAAGGCCAACAGGCAGCCCTTGTGGGACTATAAAGCCGACAAGCTGGTCAAGAGCTACCGGCACACCTTCTTCCGGGACTATTCTAACCTCGGTATCGTGGGACTTCCGAGGACGTTGACATTCAGAAGCTTTGAGTACCAGGCCATTGCGCTTGCGCGGCTGTGGTCCAACAGAAACTCGATCCCGCTGCCGTCGCGGGAGGAACAGGAGGCGTGGGAAGTGCAGCAGGCGGAGAAGACGACGTCCCGGGGTGCAAAGTTTCACGATGTTCCGTGGGAAAATGGCGAGACGGCCGAGTACTTGGGGTACTTGTTTGACATTGCGGGCCTGGGGACCTTGAGTGGCGAGGGTAGAATACCGCCTGCCTTGGGGAGGGACTTGGTTTGGGCTATAGAGAATATACACAAGTATCCGGAGCATTCGGCGCGGGATACGAAGAAGGGAGTTGGGGGGGATTGCATGGAGGAAGGTTGGGTTTTGGTGCCAAATGGACGCAGGAGTCACTTGGGCTTTATTTAGGTGACTGGTACAACGCGCATTAGTCTACTGGAATCTTCTTCATCAGACGGCGTCTGTTGTGCATAGTTTCTATGATGAACTGGAGGTTTGAGGCGCTTTATACTTGGCCGACTGGCTCACGCGGTGCTCAGCTTCTACGTGGCTTGGTTTGTCCATAATCCATTTATGCGGAAGTGCCTATCAACTGAGACTCCAAGAGGGCCAGACTCTAGTTCCTGGGGAAACTGATGGTCGGTTAAACATCAATTGATGTGATTTGATATGCTTAAGCGTAGTGCATCGGACAGCACGGAGGACACAACCGGACAAGTGCACTTCGGATTAGTTATCAACAAGTAAACAGTAATCCAGCCTTCAAGTTTGTGCAGTGTCAAGAGCCCAAGGAGCACACTTATACGGTGATGACGAGGTTACTTGGCCAAGGCCCGCTGTTATTGCATCCTTTCCTCCCAAGCTCAGTTATGCAACGATAACCATTGCGGAAATGTCTCAAGTTTGACCGAGAATTAAAGGAATCAGAGAACCAATCTGCATAGTACTCCCCTAGCACCATACGTAGTACTTATTGTTGAGCCAAACAGGAGGCTCGTCTATGCCATCACGTCCTTCGCCCGCCCACCGCGCACACGCAATGCCGTCCTCCTGCCGCTCAACCCAGGTACCATCGAGGCCGCTCTGCTCGACAAGTCTCTTCCCCAAAGGCGACGCCTCTCACAAGTTCACCTCGTCTAGACGCCACGCCGCTGCTTCCGCCTGAGCGGCCTGCAGCACGACCTTGAGCGCCGCCGTCTGCTCCGCGTAGGCATCTCTCAGCGGCGCCAACTGACCCTCGTCAGGCTTGTTGGCAGATTCATCACCTTCCACCACGATGCGCAGGACGTAAAGAACATCACATTTCAGACATGCTCTTCCGCGTCGTCATGATGACCCGGGTGCCCGTGTAACGACGCACCCAGACCGCCCAAACCTGCTTTCCGGGATTCCCGGCAATGGCACCTTTTGCGCTCTTCTGCCCGAAAATGTAGTCTGTGACAAAGTCTTCCTTTCGGATATGCCACAGCATGTGATCCCGGCTCGGCAGGATCACCACGCGTTTCCGCGCCGTGCTAGGTACGAGAATCCACGTGGTTATGCCTCTGTCCTCGGCTAGAGGTGCCACGGCAAGGTCCTGGGCTTCAGCAAAGTAGAGTAGTGTGGTCACCGAGTCCTTCCACGAGGCCGCGGTGTCGGATCAGATCTGGGTGCATTCTTCTGGCACAGGCTGGGTGAGGTACAAAGCACATGCAGGAGAGTCGGAGCTGGGGAGTCGGCTGGTTGACCCCATGATTACTCGTAACGGCAATGCTAGATTCGACGAATAACGACTTCCAGCTGTCCTTGTGGCAGTTTCTCGGGTGCCTTCGAGACAGGCTTCGAGTGAAGTTTAAGATGAACGGTATTGTGGTGCCACTTCCTGTGAAGGGTTAGAGTCGATCTATTCACCTCATATTCGCTCCCATACCCTTGTCATCCCATGTTGTCTCAAGCGGGGTAATCTCAAGGTTAACTGGTGGAGTCCTTAGTCGACGAACTGAACAGGTGGTTGCATTCCATGTTTCATCTTCGACATCCAGCGTTTCCTTTAAAGGGAATCCAACACGAATATGGATGGCAAGCCCTGGGTGATTATAGGCGCCTCTCGAGGAATCGGCCTGGAGTTTGTCAAGCAGCTGCTAGAATCCGGTCAGCCAGTGATCGCCGCGGTGCGCAATGTGTCAGCCGCTCCAAAACTATTCGACTTGATTGCCTCGCAAGGAGCTCAAGACCGATGCATCGTCGAGCAATGCGACGTCTCGAGCGATGAAAGCATCACCGTAAGTCCGCCCCACCAGAGTCAAGGAAAGCCTAACAAGATCCTATTAGGACTTTATCCACAAAATGCAGCAACATGTGAATAAAGGCATCCAGCTGGGGAATGTCGTCCTGAACGCGGGCGTCTTGAAGTATCCCAACCGAGCAACCGAGATCTCGTTTGCAGACTTTGCGCTTCATTTGCATACCAACACCATCGGGCCCATCATCTGTGCACAAAAACTGCTTGACCTGAGTCCTGATTCTCCGCCCCCCAAGATGGTCTTCATCTCGTCCGACTCGGGGTCAACAGCCCGCTTCTTGGAATTTGAGGACGGGTTCGGAGCCTACGCTGCGAGCAAGAGCGCGCTGAACCAAATGCTGCGACACATGGCGGCCGAGTTGAGACGATGCCAGCAGAAGAAGCGCGAAACAGTCATTTTGGCTCTTCATCCCGGAGAAGTAGAAACGTGAGTTGAATGCTTTCCGGCCCGGCGGACGGGCCCCCAATTGACCATAAGAATAGCGACATGGCGGATATTCAACTCGGCTGGGAAGTGAAGGGTTCCATTAGCGCCTCGGAAAGTGTGTCGGGAATGTTGGCGGTCATGGCGGAAAAGGGACAAGGCGACACGGGCAGGGTGGCGATCAACTCAA